CGGCTGCTGCTGCTGTTAGGATAACAAACACTACAGTCAGCTTTTGGTATCTTTTTGAGAAAAAAGTGGTGTGCCATAACACCAAGACTACTCTTAAGCTATTCCACTCTTCGGTAGAGTGGTAAGCTATGACTGGATATATGGGAAAAGCGTTAAACATTTCTAGTTGTTGACTTGCCCGTATCACATTTCAAAAGAACAAGGCTAGAACTTTCCTATTTCCAAATTTACTACTCAATTTTTTTTAAATAAAGGAGAATTCTATTTCTTCTATTGTCATTACAGCAGGATTATTACTATACTAGTATCTTCATATAGTTAGAAGTTTGAGGACATTGGAACATACTTACCTCTGGAATTGTTTTGTGATAATCCCATTGTAATAGTTTCAAGTAGCCATTGTTTAGCACCAGTGTAGGACTAAGACTTGGTTTAGAACTACTGTCAGCACCAGGGGATGAAGATTCGTCATAAATAGAAGACAATTCATCTTCTATTGATTCCTTTATCCATTCTGTTGTGAGATCCAGAGCACCTAAGCATTGAAAGTCAGCACAGATTTATTGCATCCTTCTATCAAAATAAGTAGTAACTTGAGAAGAGTTACATACACAGACATGATTACTGAACTTCTGAAGACTAAGCAAACATAGCGGACTGCTGAGTCCTCACAAAAGCCAGTTCTCTCCCCTGCTTTTTTCACTAACTATCTCCCTTGGTTAGCTGAATCTTCTAGCTAGTTTATATGAACCCAACAACAGATTGTTGCACTTAAGCCAAGATTCTGGGGAGAAAAGCCTCAATAGAGTCTGTGTAAATTCCCAAAGCGTTTTTGTTGTTCAGAGAGGCCACTTAACAGGTGGGGTATAGGACTGGAAAGAGAAGAAGTGAGGGGACATTAACAGCATTTTTTTGTTAATACAGTTGAAGAATTCTTTCACAGGCTGCATATTCAAACACTGTAGGCCACATCAGTGGCTCAGGAATTACACTTCAAAAGCCCCTGCTCCAGATCTAAGTTTACTTTTTTCCTTCCCCTTTCAAAGTATATTTTCCTAAGGACAGCTTAGCTATAGTATATAAACCCTGTAACAGTGGATTCAAGTTGACTTTGCATTATCTAAATAAGTTTTCCTTAAAGTGTGCATTTTGCTTCACTAAAAAAATTGATCCCTTCTCCTCCTACTTTCAGGTACGCTAATTGCTTTTTTTCCATGTTTACTTCTGATTAACAGACTTGCTGGGTACAAAAGCAGTAACAGTCTCATCTTTCAGCACGTGAAGCTTCCTCCTCCAGACAGGAAGAGTCATTGTGTTTGTGTTCCACACACCAACCAATTTAGCAAATACCAATTGGTCAGGAAGTACTCCAGATTACAGATAACTTGCTATTAGCCATGCTTGCTATTAAGAAATTGACTGTTGGTAACTTGCTTGCCAAAGAAATTCTACATTCCTTAGATCTCTCAAAGGAATTGAATTTTCCCCCTCTAAATTAACTAGAATTGACGGACTTAAAAGGATGTCTTTTAATAGCCAGGCTTGAAGAAAAAAAAAAGTTAGTGAAATACATAACACAATACCTACTTGGTGTTTCTTCAAGAATTTCCTGGAATTTTGTTCTTTCATAGTCCACCAAATTACGCTGAAGATATGGCCTAAGATTTTGAATTGTATAGTTAGCCATATCCATTTTCATCAGGTCCAGAACATGGAATATTTGTCTGAAAGGAGAGAGTTTAAAAATCTGACAACTATGGTGGTCTCCGTTGATCTTAAACGCCACATGAGATACACCTACATTAGCACTGTAACGCCAGTTCTGGGAGGAGTAAACTCAAACTCCATTATTAGTACTTCAGTGCACTAGCCATCAAAAGCTATAACATTATCTACTTAACTCCTTCAAATATCCTGGAAAGTATTGCACTTCAGTCTTAGCTTAAGTTACAGAGTACAGGACAAATACACTGCATCACTGAACACTACAAGCCAGTAATTGATACAGTTCTTGAAAATCCCTGTTTTTCTGTTGGACACTTCAGCCTAGATAAAGCGGCACAAAAGTTAAAATCTGTCTAATTGTGCCAAGAGAAACAATCCTTCTGATCCGGTTGCTTTCACCCTTGTATACGATCCAAGTTGCAATAAAAATATAATAGAGCAGTAACTACCATTTACTCTCAATAGTACACTATGTCTCAGGAGATGTGAGCTGGTTTCTGCACTTCATTAAGCAAGTGTGTTACTCAACTTCCAATAATAAGATCTTTGTTAGTGAGATGTCAGGTCCAGAGCCCGGCCTCCCCAAGGAAGCATGCAATAAATAGTTCAAGAAGGATCAGTAAGAATGTTCCCTTTAAATTTTGCAAGAATGAGTAAGACTGAAAGAGCAGTCTCAAAAACACCACAGATTACCAACTCTGAATAGCTAAGCCACTGGACAATGCAGGGAAGCGCTCTAATAGCAGTCTGGTAGTTTTCAATCTGATTGTTCCGTTAAGAAGGAAGGTATACATAATACGCTTGCCACCATATGCATCATAACCCCTCCCTCTCAATGCTTCTCCCAATTAAAAAAAACACTTCACTTTGAAAACCAGTATTGCCACTACTTGCTGCTAACAATCCCCCTCTCACTGCCTAGGTATGCTCTCTTTCAGGGCAAGGGGTAGCAGAAAGGGGGTAGCAGAAAAATGCCAAATACCAACCTCAATAACTCTACGATATTGTCAGTTGCTTTTAACTGTTTTATATCATTATCTCTTATTGGAGCACACAACTTCCCCATAGTTGTGATGATATAGTTTGCCAGCCCATGAATATCAACAGCATTATGTTCTGCTTGCTGTCTTATAAGATCTGTATCTAGAACTTCACAGATTTGATTTTGAATCCTGTTTGCTCCAGGAGTCAGAAAGGAAAGAAGAATCTAAAACAGAAAAAAAAATAGAAAAGCCTTAAACAATTAGCACACATAATAGCAAAATTTTATTTCAGTATGTCAAGCATATTTAGCTGACTGACAGTAATGATATATGTTAAGACTAAGAATCACCTAAGGTAGCAGGGGAAAAAAGGCTGTTAAAAGGGTCACAGTACAGTTCCGCAATAATGCTCAAAACCTGTAAATCAAAAAACAGGTTAGCAATTGGACTCTTTCAAAAACTGGGAGACCTCCCTGTGAAACAAAGTCAAACATTTACTGACTTAAAATTTTAAATGACAGCATTGTGCCAGGATTGAGGGTTTGCATGCTCCCTTGTGTGATGATCATAAATAATAAACATATTTAGGCAGGTACAGTCAGATTTCTACTCTTGCTCATGCTCTAAACTCATAGTATGTTGCTGAACAGAGGTTAGAGATGTGCAGCTTAGTGAAGAGAGTCAACTCGCAAGTGATCATCTTGCGACAAAGCTGAGTGGATATACAGCTATTTGTATATGCAGCTGTCCGTACGCAGCTGTCCATACATCTTTGTGGTCATATTTGTAGTTAATATAAAAACACTTTAGGGTAGGCCTATTATAGTTCTCAATAATCATTGTTTCATCTTAAAAGCAAGAATTTGAAGGTGCTTTAGATCGACTACAATTAAATAGACCATCAGTGAAGTACAAGACCCTCAAACCTAAGCTGCTTGAGGGGGGAAACACGCAAAACACACATACACGCTTTACCTCCTTAATTTCTGCAAAGAGCTTGATAGCATGTTCATATTCTGGAGGATCTTCATTCAGTTCTGATTCCAAACAATCCCAAAATGCCTTGTGTACAATTTGTTTCACTGTGCCTGCAAAGCTGCAGAGTAAGTCAGCTGGCATTAGAAAACAAAATAGACTCCCAACAGATAGATATGGTTGCAGGACATGTTAGTTAGCAATGTGATGTGTGTTTCCCCAACAAGCCATTAGGCTAGCCTAAAACTTTTTTTTTAAAACAGAAATGAAATCTTTCTTGGACTGTGGATCATCAGCTCCTAGAACATGACCCGAGCTGAGAAATCCCCCCAAAATGACTTATTGCAAAAAGTGGTGCTAACAGTTCAGATATAGGTAAAGAGAATTTACCTTGCCTTTTTCCTCATCAACTTTGTATTGGCTTGCCTAACCTAGCGTGTTCTGTGCTAAAGCTTTCTCAAAACTATTAACTGATAATTGATTATCTGACAGAGAAGGGACTCAGACAACTAAAAGTCCTTTTGCAAGTTTTCCTCAAAGGAGGAAAAAAAAAGTCAGGTTCCATTTTAAGATTAAGAGATGCTGAACATTTTCAAGCAAGAACATCTTCATTACCTAAATTCAGGAAGTTACTTCTCCCTTTCTCTGGATCTCCAGATATTTTTGCATCTTTTCTGAGGTAGTTTAGAGCTGTGTTCACAATGAGCTACATGTTCATTAGCTCACTGGTCCAGTTAAGAAGAACAACTACTTAAAAGCCCATTTCATCTTTTCCACAGGACTTTGAACTGCACAGAAGACTGATACTCTTCGTCTTCATAGCAGGACTTCATATTGCATTGACTTAGTCTTCCACATCACATTTAAGTCAGAGCATCATATGCTCTAAGACAGTACATCAACTCAGCTAGACTTGGAACACATGTTCCAAGAAAGACAGTTTTGACTGCAACTCTTGGAGCTGTGGTACACAATCCACAACCTTCCAAGATGCTTTCTGTTATCTGCTCCTCCATTTCTCCTCTCTTCACAACCCTGGTTTTCCTTTGCGTAAAATTCAGGCTCTTACCTGTTCTGCGGGAGGTCTTCATGTTTTATGCAAAAGTTTGCGTTTACAGCAATTTCATGAGCTAGAGTCAAATTTGTCAGGTTTCTTGCAGCTGCCATCAGTTCATCAAATGTAACCATCTTGGGAGGACTTGCTGCTGAAACAAATACAATGAATTCAAGTCAAAAAAGACCATAACAGATAAGTGCAAATGAAAACATTATTAAAATTCAGCAGCCTAACTGCAAGTAACAAGTCAAGAAGTTTTACTTCTTGCCAAGTGGACTCTACAAGAAGCAATTTAGGGTTACAGTGTATTTATATCTTCTCAATACCCTAACTCAGCAAACTCTCAGCTCATGCAGGGCAGGGGGAACAACATAAACTTTATGACATTTTGAAGTGTTGTTTTTGGTCTGCATCTTACCTATCTTTTCCCTTTAAAACAGTAGCTTACATTTCTCAGATTGCCTACTGACGTATGTTAAGAATCCAACAGACTCAAAGCACGGGCAACAAGAGATACCAGATGTGCAGTGTAATCCTGAGCACATGGTAATGGCTACATTGTGTCTTAACTGTCAATAGAGAGGGTTCTGAAGTTACTGGCTTGAGAAAACCCACTCATGCTCCCTAGCAGATGCCTCATAAATCACACATCCTTTTTACAAGTATGTATTAAGGATATAATAGAAAGTCTAGAACATATTTGAAAGGAATAAATTCCCAAAGTTTCTAAACCCAGAATTCTGTCATTTAATTTAGTAATTGAAATTGTGCTTTTGAAGGCTAGTAATGACAGAAGGACAAGGAGCAAACACCAGCTGGCAGCTCCACTACGAAGCTTGCTTTAGTACAAGACTTGACTTACACAGAAACAAGAAAACCCACACAAAATACCACAAAAGCAAAGAGAACCATGCATGGTCTGAGAACGCTTACAGACATGACAATTAAACACATTTTAACCAATATATTATTTATCATCGTTATTTATTCAAACTATCTTCCTTGTGCAAAGGTGTATTTTCCATTTGATCCTAATATTTTTTAAAAATAAATTAAATAAACTATGACATTAATCTATATGCAATATATTATAAATCTATAATTCCAGATTTAATATGGAAATGTATGGAGCAAAAGGAAGAAAACCGTTCTCCCAATCAGCCAAACATGGTTTTGCGTGCAAAGGGTAGGTACCAGTGTCAAGATTAGCTCAAGACTAGAATGCCCACTGTGGCACACTTTTCCTTACACTTTCAAAATTGAAGGAGTGCACAAGCAGACCCCATGGATATGGTTCCTGGTGGTGGTCCACACGCAAGGAGATGTGCTGGTCATAGCAAAGACAAAGCCATGCCTTTCTCCCAGTACTCTCTCAAACTCAAATTCAGAATCCCAGGTTCTACCCATGACAGCACAGAAAAGTGGCATAACTTAGCCCCATGCGTCTCCATGCACACTGCAGGTAAGGGCAAAATAAGCTTACAAGCTGGGGAACTGGGCTTGCTTGAAGAATCACTGTTGAAGCTCTGTCTTGAATACTCAGAGTCACTAGAAGAAGCTGTGCTTTCAGAGAGGCGTGAAGAATCTGAATCACTGCTCTGGTCATCATTGAGAGGCATTCTGATTCACTTTAGCTGGTACAGTAAACACCACCTGGGAAGACAAATACACATTCCACAAAAACAGTGCTTTCTGGAATTTTTTGTTTCTCAAAGTCAGATATTGACCATTACATTGTAAAAAAGCAACAAGTTATTACCTTTCTTAAAAAGGTGTTACAGAAAGGATCTGGATTGTCGTGTACAGGATCACACAGATATTAATAAGCTATAACTATTTTGCAAGAGTATTAATCTGGGCTTCTCCCATTTCATTCCGTAGTATCTTCAGCATAAACAGTCTGTAAATTAGTTCTGTTTCAAAAATAAAAGGCACGCACCGTAATCTCTAAAGCTCCTTGTGGTCACAATCCATAAATGCATGCCTCAATGTTACTACTCCCCCACCTAGTGATAAAATAACTTGATTTTTTATTTCACCAGCAAGTGATGTCTTAGCAATTAGCTTCCTTCCACAAACTGACTGCAGTGAGAGCAGAAACTCTGAAGCAAACACAGAAGTTGCTGGGGTAGAACAGGAGAAGGGGCAAATAATTCATAACACTGAATTTCTAACAGGATGTATATAGAAGTCTGCAAAGATCCACCTAAAGCAGCAGGCCACAGAATCATATTAACAGTGGCACAGACCCAGAAATACTCCTCCTAGGGGTGAACGTGAACTTTTTAAAGCCAAATTGTAACTCTAAAGCTTCTAACATTACATTCAGCCTACATGACAACACCAAAAAGTGTCATGCTTCACAGTACTTCCGTCCCCATACAGAAACTGCTTCCCAGGTAAATAACCTGCAACTGCAGAGAGTTTGGACAGTTGCATAGTACTGAAATGTGAATAATAGTTGTAAGACAGGAAGTGAAAAATCCTTTAATCATATTAAAATCAGAAACCGGAAGTCAACAGTCATAATTACTCCCAAAGGAATTTGCCCCAGATACCAAAGCTATCCATCCATCTTTCATCATGGCCATGAAACATTCTGCAGTAGACTTTATGAACGGACACAGTCAACAACACCAACATCACTAGGTCTTCTTGAACAAGAAGCCAAGAAGTCTTCCATCTGCAAGTTTAAGTTAGATACTAAGTAAGATTACTTAATTTATGAAGGCAAAAAAACACTGCACACTGCAACTCTGTCAAACTTGGAAAAGGCCACTTCTGGCAGCAAAAGAATGACCTTTGTGTGCACCTGTGTGAAGAAAAGGGGATGGGAGGAAGATTTTTTTTTTGGGGGGTTGGTTGGTTATGTAGGCACCTAGCCACAGCCTAGAGTGCTTGATTTTTTGAGTACCAGCTCATTCTGGATCAGCCTTTGAAACTTGATGAGGTATTATATTGATGAATACTCCCCTGCTAATTGAGATGATTAGTATTTGTTAAGTTTTTATTTCTCAGCCTTTCCAGAACGAAAATAACATGCATTTGAGTGCCTTATCTCTGTAGCATTTTTGGCTGTTTCTGTGGAAAGAATTAAACACATCAGCAAGAATACTGCTGTCAGTTTTTAACTCACTGGAGAGGTCATGAGATTTTTGATGAGGGCATAAGAGATCACAGGTTCAAGACTTACAGCTTTAGTTGTGATCCTTAATATCACAGCTGCTCTATTACAACAACAATTTTATCATGTCTAACAAAAATTTGAGAACAACTAGGTATTAAATGGTATTGTCTAGACAAGATGGCAGTTTGCAAGTGATGCTGGAAAACCAAAAGGCTTTAAGATATTTTTGACCCGGAAATTTTAATCGTCTAAGTAGTAATTACAAATGAGTCACTAGTTCATATTAAGCAAGAGACTTAAATCATTTCTTCCACTAAGGTCTTTGTTGTACAGCTGTCAAAGCTAGAGCTGACTAGATATTAACTACAATAAGTAACCTAACTGTAGAAACATGTTCCAGGTTCCTTATCTGGAACCACTCACCTAAAGATAGTAACCCCACAGAGCCTGCAAAACATTATATTTGCATCTATTGTTTCTGGATTAATATCAAAACCAACCCATTTCCAGGCTTTAATCATGTATATCTAGCCTGCAAAATGTTAGTGCTGTATGTGGTTTGTGAGCATGGGGTTGGGGGGAGGCAGTGGATTTCTTAGCAGTGTACAGCCCACAAGAAATTCACTTGCCTGAGATGAGCACTTCAAAGCATCACTACTATTTAGATTTAGGTATTAAAGAAAGAACATGAAGGCATTAAATGACTATTTAAAAACCCATCCTCACACAATTTTTACAATCATTTCAAAAACATTTCTTCTCAACTTTCAGTATGTTAATTCTAGTAACAGACCAAAAGATTCAGACTTGCAAGGTGATCCTAATTAAAAAAAAAAAGCAATCTGCTGCAGAGGAAAGTCAGCAGTGCCACAGTCCACCACAATCTGGGTAATCAAGACCACCAACAGTAAGGTAGAAATTAAATAAACTTCCATAGACAGTAAGCCTTTGCATACTACTCCCACCAAAACATCTTTCAGCAACAAATACCTGCATTTCAGAGAGACGCATAACCTGTTTTGATGTACTGAGATCACAGCTGTTCATATAGTATTACCAGTACAGTACTTCAGAGGACTTCACTTAATTAATGAGTTTCAACAGTGCAACATGAGACACTGAAAAGTTGCAACCCCTGCCAGAATAAATGGATTTCCTAGTAGGATTTCCAAATAGGACTTCCCAAGGAAAATGGCGAGGAAGAAAATGGGTGTATGCTGCAGATTCACAACATCGCTGCTAAATTGCAAGTTTAACAGATACGGGAGGCAGAAAGCACATCAAAGGAAACAAGTGGAATACACAAAGCAGAAGCTGGATATGCAATCCAGTGTTTTTAATACGCTGCCCAACAGCTAAATAGCACAAAGGAAAAACATTAATTGAGTATATCGAAGTGAAGTGCAAACTGAAGAAGGCTTTTCTAATTAGTTAGAACAATAGAGGACTGAATTGTTTAGTGCTTTCTCAATAGCACACCCTGGAACAGCTTCTTTTCCGTATGCTTTTGTAGACGGTTTAGACCTCCTCAGAAGTTAAGAGAGGGCAAGGTTAATGTGTAATTTTGAAGTTTAGATTAATATAATTTCCAAGTAAAAATACTTCAGAAAACCTTTTAGTTTTCTAGGATCACTTTGTAATTCAACATCTGAACTAGACAATACCACCATCTTATTTGTAAGTTCTTCATTAGGAATTATATATTAAGCTGTTGTTTTAATAGACAACTTAATATCCTACCTATTCTATTAAAGAGTCAGACTCTGATTACAACCTGCTTTACCTTTCCTGTACTAAAAAGTAACTAATGTCTACTTTAATTAAAATAAAGGTTTGATAAGTTGGCAGTAGATTTCATTAAGCTTTTTTTTTTTAATCAGTTCTATTGCATTTCAGTATTTCAAGGATAAGCCCTTGGTATGCGACAAAGCTAGAATAACTTCTAAATGCCCAAGGCATCAGCCCATTTTCTCTTCTCTGTCATAACCAAGTCTTAGTTAATTTAAAAGGGAAGAAGTCAACTATCATGGATTCTGCTGCTGTTTGTACACAATTTCAGATTCTGTGTTTTACTAAATCTGCAATGGAGCACAGCACAGCAGTTTTCTGACAGCATCCTACTCTTACACAGTCATTACTTCACCCAACCTCAGCATTCACTGAGAGGTGACTAGATCACAAGACGAGGTGAAGGTTAGTTTTAGGGCACCTTCCAGTCACACTCAACAACACACGTCTTTACCCCTTTGGTATTACCTGGTCCACAACATCTCTCCCCCTCTCACACACACACACTTTTACTCCTAAGCATTTAATAGTTATTTTATGGAGCACCGGGAAAGAAGCAGCAGCAGGTTTTGTTTCTCTTCAGATATCTTCAAGTTTTTTTTTTTTTTTCCCACAGCCCTGCTTCTGCGCACGCTTCAAGCACTCTGTCCTGTTTTACCACTATGAACTGAGTTGTGTTTATCCCACTGGGCTTATGCCCTCCAGAGCTGGCATCTACTGCATCTCCTTTGGGCTAGAGTTTCCCTTCCGGACTCGGCCTTTGCCAGCACTTGGTCCGCGGTCCCACGGCCCAGGAGGAGAAAAGAGCCTTTGTTAAGAGCTACAGAACCTCCTCGGCCCTCCCTTCTCCCCTTCCCAATTTTGACAGCCCGTTTCTGACAGACTTTTCTGACAGCCGCGCTGCTTCACACCCTCCTGCAACGTAACGCGCTTTCCTCAGGGCCGGGGC